ATAAAATATTTAAACATTAATATTTTTATTTATATATCAACATACATGAAAAATTTTGAGCTCTTGAAAAAGAAAAGCGTGTACAAGCCATCCAACAGACAAATTCAACTTTTGTATAATTGCTTGGAAAACATCTAAGTTCCAGACTGTCCTTCCTGTGTCCCTTGCCTCTCATTTAACCCTCTGTAACACATACACACACACAAAAAAAAAGAGCAAAATCTTTTCTAGCTGATTAGAAGACCTCAGAATCTAACTATCAGCATAGGGGGTGAGGCAAATCCATGAAAAAACAATTCAAGACATTCTGATGAGAGGTCTTTAAGACACCTCGTCAATTTAAACCACAGGTTATAACCCAGGTAAAAAAACACATAAAAATGTGACCAAATATCTTGGAAACTGACTCATTATGACCACAATTCAAAAACTAATTTAGATTAACAGACATTTGCTTCATTGAGATGAAATGAAAATTAGAAAACTTCTAATCTAATCTTCTGGATATTAGTCTTTTCTGAACCTCAAGCAGGCCAAAATAAAAATTATCCCTCTCCAACACCAGTTTGTATTTTACATTGCTCTTAACAGAATTACTTGTGCTTGTTGGTTTATTGCAAAGTGTCATGACTCACTGTTCACCCAAGCAGATTGTTTTATTATACTGTGTAAAGGAAAAGCAAAGGAGATCAAGTATTCGTGATTTAACAAGGCTTCTCCTCTGAAGTTCTAAAATATTAGAATTTTCAAAACCTACAAAAAGTAGGGCAGAAGCTGAATGAACTTCATCACACACACTAACTTTTCTTGAAAGAAAATTTAACAGAAAAAAAGTCAAATACCACCATCATCACATTTCATTACCAGATCCTTTCCCTTGCATTCGCTATCAGAGTCCTTTTTTCAACACTTACTGTCTTAGCAGCTGTCGTCCTTGTTTCCATATTAGCTGACTGTTCTGTTGTGGCTGAATCTCTGTCTCATTCCCTTCATCTGGAAAAGATTACTTTATTATGAACATTTTTTCCTTGTTCTACTTCTTAAAAAGATGCCCATTCACTTGAAAAGACAAATGTGATTTTTTATTAAAATGGTTATGAATGGTTTAATAACAAAATAAAAGATTCAAAGTACTAATAATCAATCAATCAAGAGACAAAAAAAATGCATATAGCACATAATTATAGTACTATGTGCACATAAAGATTGTCAGATACATCCTACTGCGCAAGTGCAGTTCCTTTTCTTCTGTCCCACATCCAAAAGCCCCATCTTACTCCTTTCTCTATAGGGGCACATAACCACGTAGACATTATGGAGTTCCATTTTTACATTAACCTTCCAATACAATTGCTGCTCATAATTTCAGTTTGAATGCAATCATCTTTAACTGCTCACAATATCAAATGCAACTGCTTCATTATATCCATTTACAACTCACTGTCCAACTAATTTCCTTAATGTTTGACGGTTCAACATAAAACCAACAGACCTACTCACTTTAAATTTGTCCATATTTGTATTACCTTTGTGGTTGGGGGGAAAAAATACAGCAGTGGTTGTTTGTTTATTTTTCATCCTGAAAAACTGCTGAAAAATTTTCACCACATTTTCCACAATCATATATTTGTATCCAAACAGTAATACTCTGGGAGAACCCACAAAAAAATTACGTGGTTGTTCTGGTGAGAAACCTATCTGCATGCTGGCAACCAACAGCTACACATTTATTCTGTATATAGCTTCATACTACGTGATGGTTGGGTTTTTTCCTCTCCTCCAGGAGATACATAAGCATATACTTCCCAAGATAAAAAATCTTGGTTTATTATCTGTGGAAGCCTCTACAGAACTTGAAAGTCTTGTGGGCCACACACTGAAGGATGAACAATCTTCTTGTGTAAACAAAGATTAAGAACTAGAAAAACCTGTTGTATAATCCTATGAGTAACTTTATATGTGATGTGGGAAAGCTACTGTCCTTTCTGGGAAGTCATTTACCTTTGTACAACTGTATTAACACCACACACAAAAAAAAACACTACCCACCCAAAGAAGCTATCAAAGACTAATCAGAATTCACATGCAAAGAGAGCCATATGAATTTTATCCATCTCAAATTCACAAATCCATTTAATAGCAGCCACAGGAAATAATCAATTGCACCATGATTTTCTGATGACAACACAGCTAGACCCAATGCACAACTACCAAAGCTCAGTCATGATTTAATTGCTATAGACTGAGGTAAATCTGCCTGAAATTTCCTTTTGAAAGCAAAACCCCATCTTCCAAAGGCACAATTAAGTACATCTACAGGAAAGAATTCTCTTTTACTTAGTGTCCTCAAAACTGGTCACTGCTAGCAGTAGCAGTTTACCAATGAGAAGGGATTTGCATCATGAGCAAATAACAACAGAAGATACCACAAGCAGTTAAAAAAAAGAAAGAAAAAAGAAAAAATCATCCCTTTATCAAGAGATTGAACTCTTTCTTCTAAACTGTATTACTGACTCCCCAGGTCAGATCTCCCCAAGAGATCACAAAGAAAACAAACAACAAGGAGCCATTTGGAAGAACTACTAAAAATACTTCCACTTTTTTTTCTGACTGGGCAATAGAAACAGAAGGGTTTGGGTGGTGGAGAGATTAGACATGAACATACAAGTAAGTATCTATCAAAGGCAACTCTAAAAGGAGCATTAACAAAGCTTCCATTTTAAGTGTGTATCTTTAATCAGTTCAGATTTGATACAGAAGTGTACATTTCTCTAACAGCAACGTATATAGAATGCAATGGGATACATCAGGATAATGGATTTTTAACAAATGTAATTCCACTAATGTCCACTTTGCAGCACTGGCTATGGCTCTGCTGGGCAAGTCAGGCCTCACACTACATTCCTCATGTGGAAACTGGAGCAACAAGCTACAGCTGCATCCTGAAAAATTACAAAACCCAAAGATGTCTAGGATCTTGGTGTGATCAGGACAAAGTTTTCTAGTGGCCCAGATACAGACTGTAGTCTTCCACTTAGTAACACTAAATTAAGCTATTACTTCAGTTAAAGAAATAACCTTGATAATGCGAAATAAAATTTCTCAAAAACTCCTTCCATCTTGGACAAGAAAAGCCTGGTGTAAAGTTCCATCAGTTGGCATGGGGTTGGATCTTTTTGTTTGCGTTTTTTTAATGACCTTCTGAATCCAATGAGGTAAGAATTAACCATAAGAGTAAACAAGACCATCCCTTTCACAAACTAAGTGACAGAGCTGAGGTCTGCAGACTTTCTATATTCTTCCTTTATGTACAGGTTATTCTAGTTTTGTTGCTGTAGTAGGAGCATCAGGAGACTGCGATACAAAAACCATCACCTATTACTTTTCAAGGCCTTGACCTGCAACCAGATCTCTGTACCCCTTCTTTTTTTTTTCCCCCTGAGGAAAGGATAGGAACATAGAGAGAGGGATAAAAGGAAGTAATTTAAATTCTTAATTCCTCAAGTTCAGTGCTTAAAACTATTTGTGTGAAGGAGAAGTAACCTCTAAGGAGATGTAACCTCTAGAAAAACAAATCAGCTTTCCAGAGACCAACGTGTAAAACTGTCCTCTCACAGCACAGCACCTAAGTTAGTTACATGCATTTTCAACTCTCACTGGAATTTCGTAAGTAAATGCCCACTCTCAAACTCTCACTTATGTCTAACATGCACTTCCATTATTTTTTTCCTGGAATACCATTCAAGTAATTTAAAATATTACATGTACTATACATTCCACATCCCTTGCCATTAACTTTTTGTTCAGAAGAATTATTCAAAGGTAAAAGGATTCTGTAGCTAAAAATCCAGCATCTCCCTGTTCCAAAACACCCATACACATAACTAAGGAAGAGAAAAAATTACTCTCTCAAGTAGCAGTTTGTTGGTTTGGGTTTCGAGGTTTTTTTTAAATCTAAACTCATTTATTAATGAGACTCAGAGCATTAGCATATATTTTTATTTTTACAGGAGTAAAATACAGTCTTTATTAATTATCTCTAGTCCCACTAGTATATTTTATTAACACTATCACTTCAGCACTTGCACAAACCACACTCAAGCTTTTATACCAGTAATGAGCTCATTCTTAATGAATTCTTACCAGAATCATAGTTCGGTGGCTTCATATCTCCCTGATTCAATTCTGTGCCATATTTTAATTTGTGATATTTAGCCCTGAAAAAAAACCAAAACAAAACCAAAAAAGAAACTATTAGCACATTTAAAGGATATCTCTGAACACATAAATGTCACCTGTCTTGAGAAGCCACTCCTTTCTTCCAAGCTA